AATGTAAAAACTCAGCAACGTATAAGACAATTACGTTCAAATGATGCATTCAAAAAAGAAGAGAATGTAAAAACTCAGCAACGTATTAGACAATTACGTTTAGATGATTCATTCAAAAAAGAAGAGAATGTAAAAACTCAGCAACGTATAAGACAATTGCGTTCGAATGATGCATTTAAAAAAGAAGAAAATGTAAAAACTCAGCAACGTATAAGACAATTGCGTTCGAATGATGCATTTAAAAAAGAAGAAAATGCAAAAACTCAGCAACGTATCAGCCAGTATCGCACTAATCTAAATTTTACAAATGAAGAAAATTGTCAAACTAGATTACGTATACGAAAAATGAGGCAAAATATATTTGTTAGAGAAATTGAAAATAAGAATAACTTATACCGCATAAAACTGCTCAGAAGAAATGCTGATTATACTATTAATTTACGTAAAATAAATTTTATTCGAATTAAACTCTTGCAAAAAAAGTTGCGATACATTAAGCAAGAAATTATGATAATTAGAAAAGTGATCCAAGTTGATCATCATACATTAGATTCTAATTATTATAAGGACATTCAACCTATTAATCAATTGAAGAAGTTATTTCGTCACTATAGATATGTACGACAGGAATTAGGTAAGTATATTAATCGAAATAAAATTCTACAATTTGCACAAAAAACTTGTGAAAAACGTAAAATTCAACGATATAGAAGACTATTACAAAACAAAAAAGTAAGTAAAAACGATTTTTCGAAGCATGAATCCAAAAAAAATGCAGAACGAAATCGTGTTAATCGAGTAAATGATTTTTTTCATTTTCGGAATAATCTGTATAATGATTTGAATCGGAAGAAAAGAGATGGCGATCAATTTGCTAGGCTTCAATTACAGTTCATTGAATTTAGAAAAGAGACTCCTTCATTTGTTTGCTGTTGTTGTGAAGGTTTATTTTTTAAACGTTCTGTTGTTGGGTTAAACAAACAAAAAATTATTAATAACAAAAATGGAGTTGAATTATTACGTCAAATTGTTAATTTTCCATCAGATTATATATGTCTTACGTGTAAAAAAAGTGCATATAATAATAAAGTACACAGCTTATCGACTAGCAATGGTCTTCAATTTGTAAATGTACCTAAAACAATTCAGAAGTTAAATGATCTCGAGGAAAGAATGGTAGCACCAATATTGAATTTTATGCAAATTCGAGCATTGAAACCATATGCCCTAAATCCGCAATTGGGTTTAAAAGGTAGTGTAGTGAATATTTTAATCGAAGTAAATGATATGTTACAAATATTGCCACGAAATTTTAATGATATGCAAACCATTCAAGTAAAATTGAAACGACACATAACCCATAAAAGTGATTACATGTTTGAGACAATTAGACCTGCATTGGTTTGTAAAGCTCTCAAATATCTTATCACTACACCGTTATATCAAAAATATAAGGTTAAAGTAGATGAAAAGTATTTTAAACGTTATGAAAATATCCATTTAAATGAAGAAATAGATTTTATTATTGATTCAGAAGATGTTACTGATATAGCATCAGAAGTTGTAACAGATCATGTTACAACAATTGAACAAAAAAATATCCACAATGAAGTAAATTCGAATACTTTGAGTAATATTCAAGAAATCAAAGAAATTGATTATTTTGATTTTGAACAAATAAATAATGATGAAGTTCTTTTAATTAATAACAATTTAGAAATTACTAACGAATCTACATCGAAAGTTAATATTATAGCACCAGCGCAAGGTAAATGTCCGTTACCGTGGCATTGTATTGATGACTTAGATGAGTTATGTTTTCCAAAAATTTTCGTAGGTCATCAAATGGATTTATCTGGAAAATTAACTCAAAGAAAAATAACTTATACAGAGCGTATTAAGTCAGAAGTAAGACGTTATGACCGTCGATCGTGTATTCCATCTCGAATATTGTTTATGGCGAAGAAAAACTTGGAAAAAAATTGTTTATCAAGTATTAATATATGTTTAAGAAAAACTATGAAACATTTTAATACAAATTTAAAAGCTGAAGATGTATTAAATTCCAATAAAATTAATGAAATTGTTAAGTTTGATGATGGATTTCGCATGTTGAAATGCATAAGATCTTCTCCAGCATATTGGGAACAAAAGAAAAAAGAATTATTAGCTATGATACGCCAATTAGGCAAACCAACATTTTTTTTAACGTTATCCGCTGGTGAAACGCATTGGCCTGAATTACTTCAGACCATCATGAAATATAGCCTGGATGGTCGTACATTAAACTTAAAAGATATATTTGAATTAGATAAAAATACTAAGACTAAATTGATTAGAAATGATCCAGTTTCTTGTGCTAGATATTTTGATCATAAAGTAAGTAAATTCATGTGGTTATTACAACAGCAGAATAGTATTTTTGACAAATATGTTCTTGTTGATAGTTATGAACGCGTAGAGTTTCAACAACGTGGTAGCCCTCATGAACATATTTTATTGTGGTTGAAAGATGCACCTAAATTTGATCAAAATGGTAGCAATGATACACTTATTGATTTTATTGATAGATTTCTTACATGTGAAGACGATGTCAATAACCCATATATAAAATTTCAAATTCACACACATTCACATACTTGTTATAAAGGAAAGCGAGATAAAAAATGTAGATTTCATATACCTTATCCAGTCATGAGAAAAACAATGATTTTAGAGCCGCTTAGTGATAGTGAAATAGTACACAAACCTTATAATGCAATTCATGAATTAATGTGTAAATTTTATAATACGAACGAATTAGTTTCATATGAAGATGTATTGAAAGCATTATATATGACTGAAGATGAATATATTTTAGCAATACGTAGTACTTTGAAACAAAGACGAATTTTTTTAAAAAGAACAAGTGCAGAAATACGTATAAATGCGTATAATAAACATATTTTACAATTATTTGAATCGAATATTGATTTGCAATTTATCCTTGATGAGTATGCTCTTATAAGCTATGTTACAAATTATATTAGTAAAATTGAAGGCGGCTTGTCTAAACTATTGAGAGATGCTGCGCAAGATTGTGATGTTGGAAACAAATCTATAAAAGAAAAACTTCGCACCCTTGCAAATGTATTTTTAAATAGTAATTTAATGTCTGCTCAAGAGGGTGTGTATCATGTTTTATCGATGCAACTATCGAAAAAGAGTCGAAAATCTGTATTTATAAATACGAGCCCAATAGCAGAACGTGTTTTAATGTTGAAATCAGAAAAAGCATTGAAATTGTTAGAAGCAAATTCTACTGAAATTTATATGCCTGATATTTTTGAAAAATATAGTAAAAGAGAATTAAATCTTGATAATATTTGTTTAGCGGATTTCGCAGCTAATTATAATATGAATAAAACAAAAAAATTGAACAGTAATGATGATGAGATTATGGATATCGATAATTGTGATAAAAATAATACAAAACGTCAAAAATCAGCAATTATTAGATATCGAAGGTATAAGCTGGAACAAGATCCAGCAAATTATTATAGAGAGCAAATATTACTATTCTTGCCGTGGAGAAATGAGAAATCAGACATTGAAAATGATAAATATGAATTAATTTATAATGAAAACAAGGAAATTATAATAAAAAATCAAGCAATGTTTTCAATAATTAGTGACAATGAAATTGATTGTGTATTAGAACAAGTTCAAAAAGATAATGATTTTCGGGATGATATTAATGGAAATGACGGATGTGAATCATTTAATGATCAAAATGTCGATCTTTTTCAACAAGCCGGTGATGAAAAAGTAAACAAGCAAAAAATTGATTCATCGGTACAGAAAGTGCGATACACAAGCCCACCTAGAGTATCAAAAGAAAGTTTGTTAGATATGATGAAAACATTAAATACGAAGCAGAGACAAATTGTTATACATGTCTACAATTGTTTTAAAACTGGTAGCACTCCATTCAGAATATTTCTTAGTGGATCAGCTGGTGTTGGTAAAAGTACTGTCATCAATACCTTATTTCAATTGATAACTAACTATTTTGATGAACTACCTGGTGGAGATAATGATCAAATAAGAGTATTATTGTGTGCTCCGTCCGGTAAAGCTGCATTCTTAATCAATGGTGTAACATTGCATTCTGCATTTTCATTACCTTGCAATCAATATGGTGTGAATTTGCCAAAGTTATCTGATAATACGGCAAACAATATACGATATTATTTAGATCATGTTGAATTATTAATTATAGATGAAATTTNGTACGTACGTACGTACGTACGTACGTACATACACACATCATCAAAAAAATTGGCTAGCATGCTACTAATATGTTAAAACGTGGAAATATAATGAAAATTCCGATTTCACTTTTCGACCCAATTACAATAACTTCCTAATGGGAAGTTAAAAATAATTCACTATATTGTAACTTTTGCAGAAGTGACACCCATTCTACACAGAATTGCAGGAAAAAAACCTAATCATATTAATCATAATCCTCAACACAGTCAAAATTCGTCGCGCAATAGCTATAATAATAACCCCAATAAGAAGTCGTTTCCCTCTTCCTCCTACGATCCTGCCAAATTTTGCAACTATTGTAAAAATAAGGGCCATACAATACAATTTAAGAATAAGAATAACAATTCCCAAAATAAAGTGAATCATTTAAACTTGAAAACATCCCTGGAAACGAATACCCTTCTAGAGGATTCAGGAATACAAGCGGCATTCAGCAATGCGTAACTGCCTTCTGTAATTCGAACGAAAATCAAAAAACACTCATTTTTAGCTCAAACAATTCTAAACAAAATTTAACCTTCCTAGTAGATACAGGTGCTACTATATCTCTTATTAAACATACATCCTTAATTCCCTCTAAGACCTACCTTAAAAAGGACGATATTATCACCATCAGCGGTATAAATCCAAACAGCCCTATTACCACAATAGGGTTCACAAATCTTGATCTCTTAGCGGAAGATCTCACACTTAAACCAAAAGTGCACGTCATCAACGCTGCAAAAATTTCAACTTTCGAAGGGATACTAGGAAACGACTTCCTCGAATCGCAACAAACCGAAATCAAATACAAGGAGCAATATGTCAAGATACAGGACAAGAAGCTGTTCTTCAATGGACAATCTCCCTCCAGAACCTCCTATCACGCTACCCTATAGAAGCGAAACGGTCATACAGATCAACGTTATCTATAGGGTAAAAGAAGGCGTGACCCAGGCTACACAATTCGCCGAACACATTTTACTATCTAGTGCCATGGCCACTGTGAATGATAACAAGAAGGCTCTTTGCACGGTCATCAATACCAGCGATTCAGAAGTCACCATTCTGTAACCGTCGGTAGAATTAGAGGAGAACAAACAGCATCACGAAGTTTATGAAGTCCGTTCATCAAACCAAAAGGTACCCCCCAGTCATACAAATAGGTTCGAGCTCCTCGACGAAAATCTGCACCTCGACCACCTTAACAAAGTGGAAAAAACATCGGTACGAAGGATCTGCTACGATTTCCACCATATTTTCTATCTTCCTGGAGATCAGCTAACATCTACCACAGCGGTCACACATCAGATTGCAGTAACAAATACTTCTCCGATATTTACCAAAACCTACAGGTATCCTAAAATCCACGAGGAAGAAGTCAATAAACAAATAAATAAGATGCTGGAGAAAATATCATAGAGCCATCCACATCCCCATGGTCATCTCCCGTGTGGGTCGTCCCCAGGAAGATGGACGCCTCTGGCGAAAAGAAGTGGAGGATCGTCATAAATTACCGCAAACTGAACGAGGTAACAATAGGCGACGCATACCCCCTTCCTAACATCGAAATCATCCTGGATCAACTAGGATAATCCAAGTAATTACAACCCTCGACCTCGCTTCTGGCTTCCATCAAATAAGGATGTCGGAAGAAGATAAAGATAAAACCGCATTCAGCACGCCTTTGGGTCATTACCAGTATAACAGGATGCCTTTCGGACTGAAGAATGCTCCGGTGACCTTTCAAAGGCTTATGAACAACGTTTTAACAGGACTTCAAGGGATAAAATCTTTCGTATATCTGGATGATTTTGTTGTTGTAATTATTATTAATTATTGTTCTAAAATTACAGCCCGACAAGTGCGAGTTCTTGAGGAAGGAAGTCATGTATCTCGGACACATCATTTCAGATAAGGGTGTCGAACCAAATCCTGAAAAAGTTATGGCTATATCCGAAATCAAAACTCCAAAAACTCCGAAGGATATTAAATCCTTCTTGGGCCTCGTCGGCTATTATAGGAAATTTATTCCTGATTTTTATAAAATAGCAAAACCCTTAACAAAGCTGCTGAAGAAGAACGAAATATTCCACTGGTCTCCCGAATGCGAAAAGGCATTTCAAACCTTAAAAAACACTTTGACGAATGAACCAATTCTCAAGTATCCGGATTTCAGCAAACTATTCATACTAACAACAGAAGCCTCTAACGAAGCAATCGGCGCTGTCCTAACACAAGGTGAAATCGGATCTGATCGGCCCATTGCGTATTATTCAAGGACGCTAAACAAGGCGGAACTCAACTACTCCACCACAGAAGACTCCTGTCCATCGTGGATTCGGTGAAACATTTTAGACTTTATTTATTTGGTCAAAGATTCCTAATATACACTGATCACAAACCCCTTATGTGGCTGAAGAACTGCAAGGACCCGTCAAGCCGTTTAATACGATGGCGCCTCAAATTACTCGAATATGACTACGATATAATCCACAAACCAGGGAAATCCAACACAAATGCCGACTTTCTCAGCCGCCATATTAATCAAGTAACCACCAACACTCCTAATTAGTAAAGGAATAGTTAGCTACAATATTTTTAGTCCAGAAGATCCATTTTCAGAACTTAAATCGATTAATGAAAAACATATGTTACCATTAGAATTAACTATGGAAAGCACGTATCTTTATTATAAGGTTATGGATATCAAATCATTTATTCAGAATAATCTATTAATTATAGTGTTCGAAATACCTCTAGTAAACACTTTGAGTTACGATCTTTATGAGATTCACCCATTATTAACTCCTCACAAAAACGATCCCAATCTATTTTCATACATTGAACCTTCAAACCCCCTTATCCTCATATCCGTCACGAGAACAACATTTTCAACATTAAACAACCTACAAGACTGTATGGAAATCCAACCAGCACAATGGATATGTAAAAAGGTAACCACCATCAGAAGAATGGACCAACCCACCTGCGAAGCAGAACTATTTTCGAAGACGACTACCCACATCCCGAAGTCATGTCAAATCAAACACGTCGTCGCTAATGTAGAAATCTGGCAAAAAACCAAGCAGAACCAATGGATCTACATACTATCAAAACCTACAAGAATAAATATTCTATGCGAAAATACACAAGACCACGAGGAAGTTATCAACCATATGGGAACATTAGATCTGGATGGAAATTGTAAAGCTTTTACCGATTTCACAATCCTCGAAGGTCAAGCAATTACAGATTCCCTCAACATATCAAGCAAGATCCCTATCACAGACATCACTACGGATGACTGCTGCGAGAATCTCAAAGAAAATATTACTATCAAGACAGTAAAACTCCAACCCTTGACAATAACCACTCTTGACTTAAAGGAACTAAAATACGCCCAACATAAATTGAACCACTGTACAACCTTTTTAAATGTTTGTTGAAATTCGGCCGGGAAGTGTTGCGTCAATTGATCGAGGTCGACGTTCGGAGTTTCGCGATGCGGGTCGTTACTCTGGATCCAATAGACTGTTTTTCTTATACCTTTACCGAAATGTATGTACCTTCTTTCGAAATTGAAGGTGGCATGGTTGTCTGTCAGCCATTGGGTTCCCAAAACGAAGTCTTCTTTTAGATTTTGGGCGAGAAGGACTGAAATGTCTTGTTCAATGTCACCGATGCGGACACGAACAGTTGTGGCACCAGCGGTTTCCATCTTACTTCCGTCGGCGAGTTGAACGGTGTCATTGCTACTGCTCATTTGGGAACAGTTTTTCAGGATACTGGCTTTCATGAAGTTATGGGAGGCTCCAGTATCGATTAAGGGTTGGACAGGACGGTCTTCAACTTCCACGCATATTTTCGGCATTGTTATATTTTCCAGCATATTAACGCAGGCCCTTATTGCCTTGGATGAGTGGGTTGGGCAGAATTCCCCTCGGGCTGTCTCCAATTTCCCGATGACGTAGGGGCCTGGCTTGATCGTCTGTCTTGCAGAACCGGATAGTCTCTATGAATATGCCTTTCCGGGCAGAAATGACATTTTGGCAGCGTTCAATGATGTCTTTGTCTCTTCTAAATAAAATTTTATAAAATGGCAGCAAAACAACCAATTGATTTATTATCCCACATTGAAACTTTTGATGGATACGGAGATTCTAATAGTTTACATTTTTTTCTAAAAAACTGCGAAGCTCTTATTAAATTAGTTGCCGAGCATAAACAGAATACATAGTTTCGTTGAACTAATTTTTTGCACAAAACTTAAAGGGAAAGCCCAAGAATTAACACAGTATCATGAATTTGCAAATTGGACAGAACTTAAAGATTTTATATTAGAAAATTTTGCTGACAAGAGACCACCGTCCCATTTTTTAACTCAAATAATGAATATAAAACAAGGTTATAGAGAATCAGTTAAAAAATATGGAGATAGAATTATTTCATTATTCAATAAGTACAAAGGGACTTGCCATTTAAACTATAAAGAAAATGAATGTAAAGTTTTAATAAGTAATATAAAATCAACAGTCATCAACTGTTTTCGAAAGGGATTGCTTAACGAAAAAATTCAAATTAGAGTCATAGCAGAAAGTCCTACTGAATTAGAGAGAGCAATAACGGTAGCCATTGAAATTGATAACGAGTCAGACCACAATCTTCGCTCTCAATCAATTAATTTTTTGACACATAATAATTTTAATCACATTCAACGTAAACCGTACAATACCTTCTGTATGTTTTGCAACAAGACAAACCATTATACATCTGATTGCTTTAAATTAAAATCATTTGAGCAGCACAATTCCCGAAACACCAACTTTCAACCTACTTATAAACCTAGACCCCGTAACAGCTTTCACCAATCATTCCCACATACACATCGAAATTTTAGTTTTCCAAATTCGACATCCTCTTCTAACAATTCATTTAGATCAAATCAAAGTTTTCGAAATAATTCTTTTTCAAACACACAAATGTCCCAAACACAAGTTACACCTAATTCAAATTTTAATAGTAGAAGCTATCATACTAACCCTTCTGGCAACTCCTCAAATTTCATAAATGGCCCTCACCGTCAATTTCAAAATCCTAGAAATAATACTCCCGACAATTACTTCGCCAATTCTGCTAATGTTAATAATTTCGAAAATTCGGGAAACGACAACAAAGCCTCGTCTATTCACGGCCAAACGAGTGCTTTATAAACCAGTATAACGGCTGTGATCCATTTTCTAACTTAATTACTAATCCAGAAACCTGTTTTAGTACCCAAAATTATAATAAACCTTTTAACAATCCTACAAACCGTAATCCATATACAAATGCGAATGATCCCAAATTAAAATCTAATTCCCAAAATCCAAACTCAGATTCTTTTTCAATTATTAATTCAAACAATTCTATTTGCCTTTCTCTTAATTTTGAAAAATTAGATATAATTGAATTACCGATAGGATCTCCTCCCACTATAAGCACTAAACTAATTGTCGACACTGGTGCTGATGTCTCACTAATAAAATTATCAAAATTGAAGCAGGACATTGCTATTAATACAGAATCAATAATCGAACTTAGAGGTATTTCTAAAGAACCAGTACTCACACTTGGCATTTGTCACATTTTAATTCCTATTAATTTTAACAAAACAATAGTTCACCCTTTCCACGTAGTTTCTAATGAGTTTCCAATCAAAAGTGATGGTATCTTAGGGCGCGATTTTATGCGGTTGTATAAAGTAAAAATTGATTATGAATTGGAAATGATTTTATTTGATGATACTAAATGGAAAATTTTACCGTCCAAAACTGAAATTAAACTTCCCGCGATTTCAGAAACGATCATAGAAGCCATTTGCGATAAAAGTAATATCCAAGGTATATCGCCACAAAAGAAACTTAATGAAAATGTATTTTTAGGTTCGTGTTTAACAAAATCAGTTAACCATAAGTGTACTATTAGTGTAATTAATCTTTCCGAAGAAGATATTATTTATATTCCTCAACCAAAAATTAATTTAACACCATTTGATGAAATGGCTGAGCTAAAAAATTTGACTAATACTCCTA